GCAGAACTTTCCAGGGGAAGGCCACAAGTGCAAGCTAGCAATATCCAATCTTAGGACCCTGCGCCGCAAGCATTAAGCTTCACATCTTGCAAAAACAAAACAACCAATTGCTTGAACCACAAGCTAAACCGTTTGATCACCACCTGGGACTTGGGAGACAAGCTATTTGTCAGGACCTGAGCTGTTACCTCTTGGAGGTAGAATTCCAAAGTCTTAACTCTCGCCCATCTTCCTCTCCAACATATCATGGGAATGTTTTCGGATTGCAAATACATCATGGTGGCACCAGATCCTCTGAGAGATCCGGGAGTGAGGCCGTGGCTGGCTTGCTTGCAAGGCACACCAAGATGAGTCATAATAGCATTCCATTGACTGCGGTAGCTGTGCATAGTACCACCAAACAAGAGTTCATTCAGACCAAATTGACCGAAAAATTCAACAGCAAATTTGATGACATCAGGATCGGAGATCTTTACATGTTGCTGTCGGGCGAATCTGGCCGTTTTGGGAAAACGCAAATGTACATAGAGTGCGTCAGTCAGGAAACCAGTGTCTGACGGCAGCATCAAGTCTTTGCGCCTCAAGTTGATGAACTCTGCTGGGTGCAACATTCCACTGAAACCTACCATGGTACTTCCAGCCCATCGGGGCCAGTGCCACAAAATAGCAAGGCTCAACATGGCTTGTAAAACTGGGAGTGATAAAACTGGACGACAATGACCTGGCTCAGCTTGCTGCCATTTCTTATCGATTTGCCAGGCTGCTCCAAGCATAGACCTATATTGGGGGCATTGATCTTGGATGGCAGTAATTGCGTAAACCAGCAAGTAACGTGGGAGGCCGGAACGGTACAGGTGCAGTCCATAGGCACGCAAGGCCAAGGCACAAGTATCAGCTCGCAGAGTCACTCTGGCCAAATCCATTTTCAGTTCACTATCCAGCCACAATCTAAAAGCGTCCAAACATCGACGCATTCGATCAGCAGTGGCTTTGGCAAAGCCAGTATGCAAATCGAGCTCACCACGAGCTTGACCAAGGGGTCCAGGATTCCTTTCTATATCACCACCTAATAAAAGCAGGAAACGCAGCCATCTAGCTGAAAGCTTGCTGATCTGGGCCGATTGACAAACCAGATCGAAGCGCTGGTAGTTCCCAGCCAGCAAATCAGTATACCAAATTGGCAAATCCTTCGTTGGCGCAGGGATGGCACAATCACGGGATGGTCCATCAGCCCTGTTTTTGGCAGAATAGACATGCAAACCACCGGGGTACAAGTTACTGCCCAAAACATACGGCAAACTCTGCTCAAGGATTTTTGAAATGCTATAGCTACTGGACCTGCCCTTGGCGGCTGCACCTAAAGTAACCCTGGAGTCCAACATAGCTACGATGCGACAGTTTGGATGGCTTTTGGCACAATGCTTAATCCATGTTGAGTAAACTTGACTTTCAAGGATATTGATGTGTGAAGGTTTTCGGAAACGGTACTGAAACAGGAGGCGAAAAGGCAACGAGTCAGCTAGTTCAGAGATCCACTCGGGATCATCATACCATTCACGAGCGGATGCAGCTTCATCCAAAGACACTGATTCGAGCCATTGCGAATCAAGATCCATACCAACTCTACGGAAGGACAACATGCGATCGGCTAACGAAAAACAAGGATTGCCTTCTTTCTTGGCAGTGACACTGCCTCTGGACATCACATTCATCATGCTGATCGGATATTGCGCCGAGAAGCTTGCGACAGGCTCGCCAACTCTGGGCTTTCTGCCGTAAACAGTTTCTGAATTGGGAACACACCTGGCATCGAACTCTTCAATGCGGCTGCGCGTGAAAGTCCCTTCAACGGTGAAATGGTTCCCTTTCCACTTACAGTTACACACCCCATCCATGCCTGCTAGCCACCCTTTATTATGCAACCACTGGTGCAACCACTGGTAAGGCTTATTTAGGGCAGATCCATACGAACAAGATGCAACACGAGTGACAATGCAACCTAGCATAATTAACACCCGAAAACAATGCAACCTGAACATAACCGAGGAACCGCTCTGCTCACAGCTAAAATAGGCCCCAGAAAGCACAACGACGCAACCGAGCATGGCGGTGCGACGTGCAAGGCTGGTGTGCGAAGCTGTCAGTGGATCGCTGGGATTAAATCCCCAAGGTTGCTCTTTACTTCTTAGACGGGGTCTGCGAAGTGTCCCAAATGTCAGGCAGGGCGGACCTGCGTGCCATTCCCTAACAACTCTTCGGAGGGCAAGGCTGACAACCTCTCGGAAGGTGCTGTTGTCAGACAAATCCTTGAAAGACAATTTGGTACCCTTGATTTCAAAACCATCATGAACTTGCAAACCCTGGTGGGCGTGACTGGAGGACCAATTCCCACTACCTTTGAAGAGTTCAACACAGTCATAAATGAAACCTTCAGAAAGCTGGGATGGTATCTTAATGGAGCCTACTTCGGGGGTAAAGGATAAATGAATACCAGAGTCGCCTAGGTTACCGTGACCCATTTCAAGCTCCTGCAAGGAATCTAACCCATGGCTTTTCAAGATCTCACCTGCTGAGGACAAAAGATTAGTGTAAAATCCTTTTTGTTCTGAATGCCGCCGCAGCTCAGCCACTGCGGTGCGGTTGCTGTCTGCGACAACGATCCCTCCCGCCCAAGGCGAGGCGTCCAAAGCATAAACACGAGGGGCGAAATCTGCACGGAGATCGGCTTGGGCACATGATCCCAAAATACAAAGAGACATAAGTTCATGGATGACATGGCGACTAAGGCAAATCACTTTAGTTGGGGGTTCACCATCACCCTCTTTGAAAACGGCATCCATCAAAGACAGTAGGGGTCTCCTAAAAAGAACAATATGAATCCAACAGCCTATGATCGATGAGAGCAATTGCTTGGTGCAAGTATCCTTCCTACAAATCAAAGCGGTAACACACATGAGGAGCATGATCCGGCTTCTGCAAGCTGAAACTAAAATCTGCACCTAAAATAGTCCCTTGGGTTTGGAACCGTTTTTGCTTACCCGGGTGAGAGACTAAGCCTACTTTGGAGTAGGCTCGGTTGGCTTGCTCAAAAACCAAAGTATCCCGCTCAGGCAAGTTCAAGTGCAAATCTTTTGTGAAAACTTTCAACTCCAATGTGGTCATCGATAGCGAGAAGCTCGACAAAATTACCCCTAGGAATCGGCTTACGGTATTCTAAAGTTTCGGACGGTAGCATGCTACCTGCTTCAAGCTGCAACAAGGCGTGATGACTCCCCTGGGCAATTTCAACTGCGTGGGAGTCACCCATGGCTAAGGTGGCCAGAGCAGGGTAAAATGGTCCTACGGAACCACTTTCAAAGCATTTCAAATTTTGAACTTCAGATGGATACACTTTCAAACCAATACAGTTCCTTTTTGCTCTATTCCGGGGTACCCGAAAGGTATAGTAAAAATCAGAAAGATCATCTGCACAAAATCGAAATGACTGATCGGCATCAAGGCTAAGGAGGCTAAGCAACGACCCTGGGGCTAACCCTTTAGTGTAATTGCTATACTGGGACATCCTGGAATTGATCACCGTAGGGTTGATGATTAGACGATCAAACTGACTATCCTTAGGAACCGCGAAGATGCCGACGGTTTCGTGGTCGTCGACTTCTTCGCACGGGAACAAAGCCAAAGCATCATGGGCGTCCCAGATCTTCATTAGTTTAAGTAAATCAGGTCGAGAACATTGAACCCGAGCTTTTCTTTTGGAAGGCCATAAATGCTGGGGAATCCTGAGGGTATCCGGATTATCGAAAACAGCTGAAACGACGGGATCCAACAAGTAAGGTTTGGGATTAAAACGAGCTGGATGTTTCCACTTGATTCGATCGGCAACGACTGGCTTGTTGGTTGTGTTCGGCATGGAAACATGTTCCGGGTCATGATGGCAATCGGAATGCTGAACTTCATGATCAACACGGGCCACAAAATGCGGCTGCTCGAATTTTGTGTAACCATCCAGGGTAGCCTGGATGTCATGCAAAATGATTTGGAGGTCCACTTCCAAGTGGCTTGGCAGTTCCTCAGCAGTTTGTCGGAGAGCAGCGAATTTTTCACCAAAGCGTCCAAGGTCGTTCTGGGCGAACCGCTTCAAATGGCAAAAGTGAGAAATGTGCCTTTCGAGCGTCTCAAGCGCTTTATACTGGTCATGGGTCCATGGTTCCCCCGCCTGGGCTACCTTAGGTGGCTTATCAGGGTAACCAAGCGTGATCCAATTGAGCATGCAAACGACATGTTGCAACAATTTCACTTGGGCACGAATCTTACGTCTACGACGGCGATTCTTTGGGTTTGGTGAATTGGTGCCCGTCCAACGCCACAGCGGAGGGGGAACGGGCCACAAAGCATTCTGAGCCGCAGAACGCTTACTAGTGCGAAGGCTTCGGTTCGGCGCAAGACTCAAAAAACGGAAACGATTGAAGGCACTGGGTGTCCGCTCCAGGAGGCTCAGACATTCATCAATCAGTTCATGAGAATCAAGTAACGAATCCGGCGGCGCAAAACTTTTGTGCTTAGAAAACTTATCAGGAGGTGGATGACATTCCCTGGTTATATTAGGCCTGCTGGAGCGCTGTTCAGGAACACCCGGCACCCCACTGCAGTCAAAACCTAGGAGTCTTCCGGGACGGTCGCCCCTTTCCCTCCTTTTGGCTTTTTGGGTCGGTTCTTTGCTTTCGGATTTGCCTCGGTCTATTCGGCGTTTAGAGTCAGGCTGGGGCGAATCGATCCTATCTGTTTCAACCTGGTCTCGAACGTGTCGATGTCCTTCAGATAGGAGACGTTGGCTGCTACCCATGATGGAGCCGGCAGTCTGCCGAATGGCGTCAGGCTGGTGCGCTTCTTTGTCACAGAAAGCTGCTGATAGTTTGGTTCCATCAGTCCAGTCAAAAGCCAAAGCAAGGTTCGTGCGACCTCCATCCAGGCATGCTTGTTCCACATAAGTCATCCTCCGTCCACAGAACGCCATCATCTGAAGATTGCTGCGCTCCGAGGCACTCTCCCAACCTGCAGCAAGCATATACCCGATCTGGGCTAGCGTCCGATGGTCTCCCACTGGTATGCGGTTTTCCAGATATGACCGCAACATCGACGGCTCCTCTTTCGACTCGCTGATCCCAAGCTCTCGCCTGGCGTTCAGACGAATTGTCTGTACAACCAACCGATCGTCTTCCAACTGTTTCAGATAAGCTTCGCGAGCTGCGTACCCTTTGACGTTGATCGAGCCGCTTGACGATCCTCCTGACCCGCTGTCCTGGCCGCCTAAAAGCGCGACCAGGGGGTCGGAGGGTGTCTTTGGGGCCAGAGTCTTCAACAGGTCGCTCGTTTGTCTCATCTGCAGGAGGAGGAGTCGTTGCATGGGATCGCTGGTTTGGGCGATCCGAGACTCCAGTGTCAGCATGGAATCTTGATGATCTCCTTCTATGGCCACCTCGCGATCCACTTCTGCAAGCATCTGTTCTTCCAGCGTGGGCAAAGTTGGAGCAGGCACCAAAGCTTCCTGCTTTCCCAGTCTCTTTGGCGCTGTCCGCTGCTGCAATGGCTCCGTCCCATCCAAGCCCGATGCGTCCAGCATGCTGCGCGGAGCAGCTTGAACTTTCGGAGCTGGCATAGTTCCCTGAGCTCTCAGCAGGCCTTCCATCTGTGAAAGGCGCTCCCGGAGTTGTGAAAGTTCCGCAGCCTGGGCAGAAGCCACATCCCTGGAAAGAGCAGGGCTCTCCGGCACCGGACCTGAATCCAGGTCTTCGACAGCATCTGTATATTCCTGTGCTGTATCCCCATCCAGTGTGTCCGTGATCCACTGCTGAGCGCCACTCAGAGCTGACGCCTCCACTGGGCGCCCAACTGTAGAACCGACTTGGAAAAGAGTCACAGTGCCATTGCCACTGCCCCGAGTGGTGGGGCAACGGCGGAATGAGCTGAGCCAGCTCCAAGGAAAGTCTGCTATGATCACTTCGGCCGTTCCGAGCTGGCGACCTCTGGCTGTTTCCATTGCCACTTCCAGCAAATCCAGAAAAGCTGCTTCGCCGGCCGTCAAGGCAATCTCGTCCACTGAATTTCTCACTGCATCGAGTGAGGGCATCAAAACTAGAAATCCTTCCGCTCTCCATCGTAGCAGATACACCACCACGAAAGTGCCACTCTGTTCTCCCACGCAGCAAAACTGAATAGTGCCAAGGCGCCCTTTGACTCCCCCGCTCAGTCCAGTCTTCACCACGTCAGAATTCAAAGCAGCACTCACGGCAGACGCCGCGGCCATTGACACTCTGCTCCCAGCAAGAAAGCGCCGCCTTCTGCCTGAGAAGCAAAGGATCTGTAGATAGTTCCTGGATGCCTCACCCCAATCCGGTGAGGGTCACCGATGCCAGAGTAAAACTGATTGAAATCTGTCGTCCAAAAACCCTCAGGAAAAGCACCACTTTTGATCACCACAAAAACCTTGATGGGCAACCTGGTGTTGATATGAGGTCCAGTTCTCTCTGATTCACCGTCCAATTCGAATCTCACTGCACGGCCTGAGCGGTAGGCCAATCCCAACCTAGCTTCTGGAGTCCAGCCTTCAACTGAACTCAGTCTGCAAGTCCTGAGTAAGTGATGGATAGGAGACAGGTCCAGAGCCAAAAGTTCACCAGCAGTTGTAGCAGCTTGCAAAGCTGCTTCCCACTCCACAGATCGGGCTACTAAGGGCCGATCCACAGCAGGTTCCGATGTGCTTCCAGCAGCACCGGATGTTGCCGGTTCAGGCGAAGAGACTAACTCGAAGTCCCCCGCGTCCTCTTGACCAATTTCCCTCTCTCGCAACCCCAGACTCAAATTTTGCAGTCCCTGAGCTATCTGTTCCAGTGCCTGAGCAAGAGAAGCCCTGTGGCTCATGCACGGTGATATTGACCCAGCCTCCTCCTGATCACAGCCAAATCCTGCTGTCCAGTCGAGTGCTATGGCAATACAGAATCGAGCAATGTCAAACCAAGCTGACAAGCAAGGCCCCTACAAGCACGAGACAAAGCCAGGCACCCCAAGCACAAACCGCAGATGCAGCCGCAACCAAAGGCCAGGATTAGAGCGAGGATGATGAATCCCCAAGGGATGTTACTATGGCTGGGAGCAAACCACAACCGCAATTCGCGCAACGAATCGAGGACGAGGGGCCCGCTGAGCATGAACCCAAAAGCTTGAGTGCAGGGCTCATCAATGATCAGTCCAAATGAGATAACCGTGCATATATTTTAAAACTGTATCTCTATATATATATATATATATATATATGTACCCTAGAAGTCGAACCAGCATTTATTTAATAGCCTGAATCCCGAACAACCATTGTTTTTGCTAAGGGGTTTTACCACTACAAAACCAGATCAGCCATTTAACCTGTTTAAAAAAAGGTCTTTGACTTCCAGGGGGCATATAACATTATATGGTTTTATATTATGGTTTTATGATATTGTATGATTGTATGTGTCAATTGTTAATGGGGCTGAGTCACATTCTTTTCATCCTCTCTTTCCTTGGCCAAAGCTGACGAACATCTACACACAATCAGGAACCGCACATATTCCAAGGCATTCTTGTTGCCCCCTGCCGGGTCAATGATGGACACCACCTGGCCATATCCGGTCTGAGATTTCGATGAAAAGCAGTTCGTTCGTGTCCAAACACTCAATTTGCTCGTTCGTTTTGCTCAATAACGCCCCCCAAGGACTGGAGATGGCCATCCAGGTAAGGGGGAGATTGAAAAACTGATCAGAACATGAACAGTTCCTCGTGTTTCCCACTCATCTTCGCCCTGAGCCCTACAAAAACCATCAACTCCCAAAGCCACCATCAACTCCCAAAGCCCATCAACTCCCGAAGCCTTAGGCACATCTTAGCAGTAGCAAGTCTTCTTTTTCGTCCTTGTCCTCATTCCCCGTGTTGTGCGACGTGTTAGCATCTAGCCGGCGACACGTCTTGAAAGCCGCGGAGGTTCTCATTGGAGCTGAGGTGGTGAAGATAGCCCTGGCACATTTCTCTGGTAACGTCGCTCACCGCCCCCGGTGGCGCTTGATGATGCACGCGGTCGCCATGAAACGTCATCTGATCTCCGATGAAACGCACGTGATCTGAGCACCTGTAGCGCTTGGGGAGTGGACAGAAGAAAACAGTGGAACATCATGCAGGTCTGGTGGCTACCTGACAAACATTCTGCTGTCTCTTAGTCTTCTCTGAGGTGTTGAACCAGCATTGTCTCCAATAATCCAATCACTCGCCGCTTTACTAACAAAGCGCACGGCAAAGCATGTCTCTTCATCAGAAGTGTGCCTGGCAAAAATATCAGATCAGGGCTGTGATTTACCCTAGTCCAAGGAATTCAAAGCTGCTTTTTGGCAAAAAATAAACAACATGTTCTTGTGGCAACACCGGCACTGGCACTCGCGCCAGTGTACCTCATAGGTGAGAGCATCCCGCCCACTCGGGAGCCTTGACGCAGATCGCGTTGACGACGACCAGCACAGTGGAGCTACAACTTAAGAGGACCCCAGTGTTTGATAGGAAAAAGCCACCAATTCTCCCTTGGGCTTGATGTGTATATCATATGACTGCGGGTCAAAACCCGGTCGACCACCGACAATGAACGAACTACAAAGGGAGGTCAAGCTACCAGGGATTCGCAAGGCCCAGGTTTTGACCTACAGCTATATGATATGTCATATGTCAAAACTTGATGTACGTCAAACACACACTTGAAATAGAAGAAGAAACCTGCAAGTGTTGGTCCATGTTGGTTCTCTTGGTGAAAAATGCTTTGCTGGCCTTAGTTAGGCCTTATAGTGATCGTCTATATCATCAGATGCATGGAAGGTGTCCGTGCCAACCATTGGGCCTGAGGTATGGTCAGGCAAATATCAGGAAGTACCTTCTTCTGTCACCTTCTGTCAACCGTTTCTTTCCTAAGGCCTAGCACTTTACCGGATACTTACACATGTCTCACCAGCACATGATACTATAGATACACGATGATACATGTGTATCTTACACATGTCGCGTGTATGATACTGATCCACGTGCTTCACCACATGCTTCACCACGTGCTTGCGCCGGTGGCCACGAACGACTCGTCTGGGCGACGGACGAGCCGGTGGCGTTGGCCAGGAAGAACTCGGTGAAGAGCTTCCGCTCGGGGCCCGTCAGGGTCTGGGCGAGACGAGTGGATGGTCGTTGCGTCCGAGTTTGAAAAACGAGACGATCTCTGCTTCGGTGATGCTTTAGTGCAAGGGAATCGAAAGCTGCTGTTTTTACACCCACAGGTCACGGGCTTAGCTTTCACCAATGTCTTGGAAAGAGAAGTCATGAAAAGTGAAAGAACAGTCATCCCGCCCAGAATCCAACGGTTGAATCTGGAATGGCCGGGATTCTTCGTCGAAGCCGTGTGGAGTCCAAGAGAAGACGCTGGATTTGGTCTCAAGCTGTCGCTGGACTCACATGGTTGAAGGTTTTTGTGCACCAACATCTGGGAAGTGGAGTCCTATACTGACAAATACTGCAAACCACAAAAACGGGTCACTGTGATTCACCGTGTGACCATCCAATACTGTTCACATCGATTCACCGCGTTTTGTTCGGATAGGCCGTGATAGGCCGGCTCACTCGGCTGATTGCTTTGGGCAACACATAGAGAGTGCTGTAGAGAGTGGGGCACAAAGCTCTGTGGGGGAGCACAAAGCTCTTTGTAGTCTCTTTGCTCATCTTTTGAAAGACCTGCTAACACAACACACACCTGGCAACATGGCCAGTATTCGTTGGCAAACAGGTCGATGGGCAGAACATGGCAGAACCGCACTTGAGACATCCACATACCAAAGCAAACCTACTCCTAGAGATTCCAAGAGATGTAATTACTAGAAATTACTAGCATGAACTGCAAGCATCTACATCACTCAAGTGAGCCCACTGCCACGCAGCTCCAAAATCCGCAGGGTGGACACCGACTGCATCCATTGATGCACTCCGCACGTCGACGTTCCTCGTGTGACCGAGGAGCTGGATGGCCGTTGAGAACATGGTGCAATCGCCGGCGGACCTGCCGCAGCGACATGCCATAGACCTGGGTTCGGTCAGCCGAAGCGACGCCAGCGTCCGTCGAAAAGCGCGGGTGTTTCTGCGAAGAAGGCAGTCGAGTTACGGCGGATCCTCGTCCGCGGACAAACAGCAGCCTTGCAGTAGACTGATACAACACTCATTATTACTGAACAATTCATATCAAACATGTTAGATCTTTTAGATTGATTGTCCAACATCCCAACATCCTAAAACGAAGCGCACGATCTGCACCCTGTCACGATCTCGTGACGTTCGCATCACCGCAAAAAACCCTGCGTCTCAGTCTCGCACCAACTTTCCAATCCCCGACTCCTGCGCCAAACGCTGTTGCCAGTCTGCGAACTGGGGACTGTCGGATCTTGTCCGCGCACTCCGCGAACTCCGCGTCGCGTCGAGGTCGACGCGACGCGTGCAAAAGAGAGTGGAGCTGGCCAGTGCTTCGCTCGGTGCTTCTGTGGAGCTGGCGGTGAAATTCTTCCGTGGAGCTCGGAGGTTCACAACTGGCGACCCAACAAACAGATGAAACACCCTCGTCAGAGGACGTCGTAGGACGCAGTAGGTCGATTGAAGAACAATTGGCATCATGATAGATTGCAGGTCTTCTCCCTCCTACTTCAACTCACCAGCACGAATCAAGAGCTCTAGGACTTATATACAGCCCCAGCAGGGCGCCCCAGGCTCCGCCCCAGCACTCCTCTGAGAGGTCGCTCGTGTCCTCTTGGCTGAAGCTATACGCCATGTTTCGGGCAGAGACCTCATGTTGGCACGTCATGCGATGCAGGCATATATAGATGTCCCTCTTGTTTCTTTGAACTTTGTTTCCAATAGCCATGGCCTCAAACCTACTAGCGATGGCCTCCAATCTATATAATAGTAATGACCTCCAACCTACTAGCGATGGCCTCCATGGCCTCCAACCTAATTCCGGCCTCCAACCTACTATTACTATATATGTCCCTCTGGTTCTTACAAATTGATTCAGAAAAAGTGAACCCCGTTTGAGAACTTCCATTGAACCGTGCTAGGACCCATGCTGTTTCTATCCATTTCGGAGCTACTTGTTGACACTAGGACCCTACAAAGAGACCGTGAAACCACACTTATACAACCTCACACTGTTGCCAATTTGTGCTCAACCCACTTTCTCTCGTGTTCTTCTGCTTTCCTATGTTTCCATCCCCACATCCTCTCATGTGCTCAGCCATCCTGCTTGGCACTTGCCAGACCCTCCGAGGTTCCCTGCACCAATCACCTCCTTGGTGAAATCGATGTGCTCGTAGGTGTATCCCGCGAGCGCCTACGTTCGGCGACGAATCTAAGCCGCCCCTTTTCTTGGACCCGTCGTAGACTGGAATCCAACAAAATCCACAATAGGCATAAAGCAAAACTGTGCCCAGTGACTGATTTGGCACTCGATGGTTCAATATGTTCAATTATTTTCTTGGTGCTCCTTTGAGTCTATGTGTCTGAGACAATATCCAGCAAAGCCATGCAAAGCCATCTGATTGGATATATTGACTAGGAGTCCACGAAACCATTGGAAGAACAGAATCAACGGATACCTTCCAGTTAGACGGTGAGTGATTTCGGGATCAACTTGTGACTGTCTCATCTTCTCCTCGGATACCTTCGAAGAGGTGGCCCAGCTCGTGCTTGGCCCAAAGGACCCAAAGGAGGAGCATGGCATGTCGCATGGCGCGTGAACCGCGTTTCTGTCGGCCTCTGAGAGCGTTCCCAAGCCCCTTATGGCGAAGGAGAAGAAGATCATCCCTGGGAGCTGCAGCCACACCACACCTGTGAGCTGCAGTTTCCAGCTGCACATGCATGAATCAATCCAGCGGCGGACTGTCGAGACGATGTGAGCGCCAGCTTTCCAGACTGAGGCGGACTGGCACGTCGACGTCCGGTAGTTCAAAAATGGATCAGATTTCCAGGTATCGCAGGTCATCTATCTCAGCGCCCACCATCACATATCGCCAAACTGCTTGGCCCGATGCTACTCTCTTCAAAAAAAAATGGACAGCCAGACGGCCAAGAGGACACTTTCCCTCCAGAAAAGTGTACAGTGTCCACCGTTTCCACCATCTCTCATAACCGCTTGGGACAATAAAAACGGACCCATCCAACCCCTCCGACGTCATTTCGTGGTGCATTTTTTGAGCACGCGCACACATGGTGAAGACATACACGAACTTGTCAAAGCGGAACCACGTGAAGCTGCCACGGCTGCTGAACCTGCACGTGCCGTGCGCAGAAAGCTGCGCCGGGTGTGACCGGTGTGGCCAGTGTGGAGCTTCAGCGAAAACTGCGCAATCATATGATAAAATTTGATAAGGATTAACCTAACTCACCCTAGGCTGAGGTTTCCATTAAAGGTGGGTCTGCAGAAGAGTGTGCTGTCCCTCCCGCCGATCAGTTGCATGCACATGGTAGGAGCAAAGAAGACCCTCTCGGGCTCCAAAGGAAAACATCAGTGTTTTGGAGTCTGGGCACCTTTTTTCTCGAGTGCATCAGGATTCCTTTTGGCAGAAGGTTGGGCAATGAATTAGCTCTTGCATGTCCCGCGGTGCCCCAGCTCGAGCTTTCAACCTAAACCACGCTGTCACCTGCTGCCATTGGCCCAAACAACTCATCAATCCCAGCGGCGTACGTCAGGTACGTCGTACGTCAGGTACGTCGTTCGTCAGTTCTTTTGCCCGTGTTCAATCAATCTATGAATGGTAGAATTCAACATCTGTAGCCCGGACCTGCCAATCTCGGCTGATCTGGGATACCCCAACACGAAGCGAATGCCGCTGTAGGTCCTCACCTTGGCAGATCGAGAGCAGATTTTTGACCGGGCATGGAGGCCAAAACCACACCAGGCCAGGCACCGAGAAGAACATCTTCCACAGGAGGCATATCTATCTGTGCAATTCGATGCATATCCAGGCATCATACACCCTCTGAAGGGATCTGAAGGGTGAGAATTTCGATACAGTCGATAAACCTTGTCTATCTATCCTTTTAAGTTATCTTTTTACTACTGCCTCTGGCTTGGCATGCTATATAGAAACACCCTTGCCAGTCATTCTTCCGAGATTTTCTCTCTTCGCACCCATTCTAAGACACCTGTCGGTAGCAACCGGAATCGTACTGTCCACACGCTCTTTTCACTGC